CCTGTAGAATTTTCAAGAAATTTGACAATATTCTAGCCTGAATCTGCTGATAAAACTTGAATGATATATTTGAAGGCTCTAATGAACTCTGATTGAAGTGAATTTTGGACTGGAAATTACACTTAAGATGAATATGATATATGGAGAAAATAAGCCCTAAATACCTTCGTTTGCAATTTTTTGAAATTTTGGCTTTTTTGTTTTGATTTTTTTGCCTTTTTTTTGAAAAAAAATAGTAAACTAACGAGAAAGATTTGAATCTAAATTAAAGTTAAATAAAAATAACTTGAAACGATAATCTTCTCTGAACTAGCTCCGTTGGGTACCTTGACGGTGTTGTGTGCAAGAACAAATAAGATTGCTTGCTTCTTTCCAAGAATCGGCCCAAATCTGATACCAATTGATAGGGAAGCGGTGGAGGGTTAATGAATGTTGCTCTTGTTGAAGAATCAAACCTAGAAAGCTCTAGACTCGATTAAGAACAAAGGGGATGAATAGGGGAAGGTGGCGGCAATAACTAGGATTCTTTAGGGTTTCTTCAAGGCAATAAGATTAGAACAAAATAAACATAAGATAAAGAAATTGAAAATAAAATAAGATAAGATAATAAAGAAATCAAAAGATCTCCCTTACGAAGGTGGACAGTAAAGATGATTGATGATGCAGATGGATTTGTGGAAAAATAGATGGATAAGTGTCCTATCGAACCCTCCTAGTCGCAATGAAAAGGCAAACTCGATAAATGGCTCTAACCAACCCTCCTAGTCGCGATGAAAAGGCAAATTGGAGTGTGAAGATTAATCTCCCTCACAAGAACTTGAAAGAACTCCAGGAGAAGAAGCTTCGAAGGCACAAGGCAATCAGCACTTGAAAAAACGAACTCTCGTTGTATTATTAATCAAAGAAATCTTGAATTACAAAGTTTAATGAAGCCTCCTTTATATAGGAGTTGAGTTCTAAAGGTCCTAAATAACTAATGAATAAAATAATAATAAACTAAACATATCTTAACTCTAATTCCTAATAAAATAATAATAACTAAAGATAATGCTTTTAACCTAACCTTAATTCCTAATAAAATAATAAATCTAATCCTAAAATATAATTCATCATCCTATATTAAGTTATATTACAAATAATCAATAAAATATTGAAAATTCGTAATATTTACAAAATCCCGTATTAATCCCGTATAGGATTTTCTGCATGCACCGTCTTCAGTAAAATAGTCATATCTTGAGTTCTCGATATCGGATTGATGCGATTCAAGAACCTTTGGAAAGATAAGAGACAGACGGTCGTATCTCCAGAAGATATCTTGACTAAATAAGATCAGGATCCCATTCAAAAAGTCATCGTAAGTCTGCTTCTGTTCTGATCTTCTTTTTCAATGCTTGGACGAGTGGATCATTTGGAATAGTTATTACTTCTTCCTTTGATGTGAGCCTTGTGATGCATGTATCAGAAGGTGTCTTAAGCACCAAGTTTTCTTCAACAACATTTGTAAATCACTTTGAACATCAAAGTTCTTATTAATCACTTAATCGTTTATAACATATTATATATTATTTTAAAAGTATCTTAAAATAAAAATTAATGATTTATTATTCAAATTTCTAATTTTATCAATAAAATAATATACATAAAAATTCCAAAAATATCCCATTATTTTTTAAGCTAATATGAATACCACTGTTAGGTGGATGCTACATGCAATAAACCTTGCATACCAAGCCAGTGCTTGCTTTCAATTGATTGTTGGCCAAAATGGAAGCTAATTGTTGATGTGGTTAACTTGTCCAATTTCCACTTAAACATGCCTCAAAATTCATGGCTGCAATCATTTTGCCTCTCAAGCTTTAATTTTTGGACTGAAAGCCCAAATTATGCAATTGAGTATGTAAAACAAGTCAAGGGAAAAGAGAATGTTCCATCACCTAAATTTGACAACATATTTAATCATTTGATGAGGAACAATGATGCCAACGCACACATGAGACAAGCGAACATGCATCAAATGATTTGAAAGGAAGAACATGAAGCAAATCTCATATGCCACAGACTTAGAAAACAAACATATCCAGCTAATTATAAAATATAATTTTTTAGTTTTTGGTTTAATGTACATTTATTTGGCACAGCTGTAATCGTTTTATTTCAAAGCTGTTTGCCCGCAAATTTAATTTTTTAATATATTTTTTTAAAAATATCATGTTTGTTTTTGGGTAAACTACTCCAATGGTCATTAATGTTTGGGTAAGTTTCTGTTCTCACAACTGATGTTTCAAAATCACAAATCAGTCATAACATTATCATTTGTTACAAATTGGTCACTTGCCCTTAACATGCATGACGGAAAACACATGTGGACTGTTAACAGCCATTAACAGGTTTACATGGATGGTATAATTACACAAATAGTTCATGTTATTTACATATTCTTTCAATTTGATCATAGTTTTAATAAATTAAAATAAATTTACCTACAAATCAGGAGGTGTCATGTGTCATTGTTACACACCTGTTATGACTCATGTTATCATTTGATTGGTAGACTAAATTTATTTTAATTTAATAAATTTATTTATACTAATCAGTTGGAAGAAAATAAAGTAACAAAGAAGTAAGTGGGGGATTCAAACATAGGATCCTTGAGTGGAATGTTACAAGTCAAACCATTAAACCAAGGCAACCATTTGATATATTTTGGACAACAAATAATAAACATCTTGTATCTTAGTATGTAAATTCTTTACTCAAAATTAATAATATTTTATATATCTTAATTTTTAAAATTATCTCTTTATTTTTGTTTTAACTTATTAAATATTATTAAATATTTTTGTTTACAAAAATTTATTTTTGCATCTCTATTATATATATTTTCTAATCTTTGCATCATATTTAAATATTAATTTTAACATTTTTTTACTATAAAACAATAGTTTACTGTCTACTCGTTTAAAAAAATAATATTTTAATTTAAAACATTAAAGCTATTGTTGGTGACTAAATATTTTGGTTTAAACAATTTTTAGGTCCTCTTAATTTTGAGCTTGAACAAATTAATCTCTCTTAAAATATTTTTTTATGAAATTTTGTATAATTCTTTTAAACACTTATAGAATCTAAATGTGAAATTAATAAATTTCTATATTAAATTAATAGTAAAATATTTAAATATTTTTCAATAGTAAAATATTTAAATATTTTTCAAGTTAAGATATTTAAAAAAATATTTTTAAGTGATGATAAAGATAAAATATATATTTTATATTAAAATAAAAACAAAATATATTTAATAAATTAAGATAAAAATAAAAATATTTAATAAGTTAAAACAAAGTAAAGAGATAATTTTAAAATTTAGATACATAACATATTATTAATTTTGAGTAGAGCATTTACATACTAAGAGACAAAATATATATCATTTGTTGTCTAAAATATATCAAATGGTTGTCTTGGCTCAATGGTTTGGCTTGCAATATTTCACTCAAGGGTCCTATGTTCAAATAACCCCACTTGCTTCTTTGTTGCTTTATTTCTTTCAACTAGAGGGTGACACGTGTCACCCTTTGATTGGTAAAAATAAATATATTAAATTAAAAATAAATTAAAATAAATCAAATGATAACATGTGTCATGAAAGAAGTGTAACCAATGAAACACGGCACCTCTTGATTCGTAGGTAAATTTATTTTAATTTATAAAAACTAGGATCAAATTGAAAGAATATATAAATAACATGGACTATTTGTGTAACTATACCATCCAGGTAAGTCGGTTAACGGTTGTTAATAGTTTACGTGTGTTTTTAGTCACGCATGTTAACGGCAAGTGACCAATTTGTAACAAACGATAACGTTGGTGACCGATTTGTGACTTTTGAAACATTAGTGGTGAAAACGAAAATTTAACCAAATATTAGTGACCATTTGAGTAGTTTACCCTTGTTTTTCTAATTATTGATCGTATTTATTTTAAATGTTTTTAAAAATTCAAATTTAAAAAACGAAAGTTCTCAAAAGTCGCATATTACCAAAGCCCTAAAATAAAGAGAGAAAAGTGAATTGTTTTAGTGTTTTAGTGGACCTCCTTGTTTGTTATATTTTAAGATTAAATCTAAATATTCTTCCTAAAATTTTTAATTCAAAAAAATATATTTGTAAGTGTATATACATTGTCAATTATTAAGAAATAATATAATAATATCTTATAATCATGACATATTATTAAAAAAAGATAAAGTATACAAATGGTTCTATAGTACACCACTTTGTTGAATCTTTAACTATTAAAATTTACAAAATGATATAACTATAGAGCGTTGCTTTGTTGAGTCCTCCAACTATTAAAAGTTATAAAATGATCAACCGATTATTCATGCGTTCTAAATTTATCATTTTTGTTAAAAAAATTAACGATCATCTAAGCTGGACGTTAACCTGTTGGTTGAGATATGATAAAATATAATCTCATAACCATTTGAGTTGTATTTTGTGAATCGACTATCCATTTATATTATACCATTAAGTCAGTGCTTGAAACATTATATTATCGAGCTAGTACTTAGAAGCAACGACGGTGCCCTAGATATTATTAAAATATAATTTTATTATATCACAATTAACATGTTAACATTCAACTCAAACGGTTGTCAATTTTTTAACGAAAGAGGACGAGTTTGGAATTTATAAATAATCAATTGATTATTTTACAACTTTTAATAGTTGAAAACTTAATAAAATAGTATCCTATAGCTAGAAGATCATTTTATAACTTTTAATAATTAGAGATTCAATAAAATAATATCTTACAATTAAGGATCATTTGTGGAGGTTGACCCAAAATAAATTAAGTCCGAAAATAATCTTTATGGGCATTTTGGTCAAAGTGAAACAAAGGGACCCACGAATTTATAATCTTTCTTCTTCTAAGTTCTAACCGTTAAGCTGGCACGTTGTAATAGATTTCCAGCAGCCCCTTAATTTGCAACAATTAACATATACTCTCTTCTCAAGAGGAAAAAATATCTGAGGAACAGAGGTTGAGAAAACAGCAATAGTTAAAAGAAAATGCTATGTTTCAGATCAAACCCTCACACATTGTTTCTTCTCTTCCTTTTCTCTTCGTTTCTTTTCCGACCTGAAGTAGTCTCTGAAGCCTCACATATCCGAACTTCACACATCCCAGGTATCATCATTATTTTTATGTTTTTTTAAAAGGAAAGTGTTTGTTTTTATTTCTGGGATTTTGTGGTTTTAACTGTTTCTTAAAAAATTGCTTTGATAGGGTATCAGAAAAGTTGTGTCTTTGGGGGGAGAGAGCACAGTGAAGTATTGGCATGGAAGAAGATAGAAAGGAGGAACCTTGCAGAGGGAAACGAAGGAGATGACAACTCGACTTTGATTTTGGCTGAAAGGAGGACTCATAGGAAGGACCCTCTTAATGATTTTAAGAAGTACACTGGTGGCTGGAATATCAGCAATCAGCACTACTGGGCTGTCAGTTTCTTCATCTCTTCTTCACCTTTTAATTTCGTTCTTCTTTTATTTATTCATTTTTCTATTTTCTTACTAATTATGTTGATTTCTATGTCAATTTGGTACTTTTCTTATGACAAATTGAGAGATTTTTCCAGAATTTCTGAATTTTCTATGTTTGTTGGCTGGTTTGATTACTTCATGACTCTCCCCCCTCTATTATGATTTTCCTTTCGGTTTATTTTGATTTTTTCACAGAAATTTCTGTGTTTAATGTAATTGTGGTCTGTTTTGATTACTGAGAACAATTAATTCTAGTCATTGATCCCTGTAATACTGTTATTCCCCTAGGTTCTTTGTGCTGTCTTATTTTTAATAATTTGCTATCAATTAAGAAATCTTCTTCTGAGTTGAATTATCTTGCTAGTGACTTGCAATTCAACTTAAAAATCTCCTTGGTATCTTATACTCTAATTTTAGGTTTCATACATCTTATATAGTAGATCCATTTATTTATTTTAATATCATTTTCATGGTTTATATTGCAGTCTGTGGGTTTTACAGCAGCTCCTTTCTTTGTAATCGCTGCAGCCTGGTTTGTGTTGTTCGCGTTGTGCTTATTCATCTTATGCATCCGCCATTGCTGTTGTCGACTAGATTCTTATGGCTACTCTCGGATAGCTTATGCTCTATCTCTTATTTTCCTCATACTCTTCACCATTGCTGCAATGTAACTCTATTTCTCTCTCCCTCTCTCTCTCTCTCTCTTTATAAACTTTCAATGTATGTGTGTTTAATGAACCGTGTGATTATTCACTCAAATGTTGAATTCATATCCAGTGTCGGTTGCGTTGTGCTGTACACCGGTCAGGGAAAATTTCATGCCAGTACAACAAACACACTGAATTATGCCGTTCATAAGGCAGATGTTACTGCTGAAAACCTCAGGAACGTGTCGGGTTATCTTTCTGCAGCTAAAAAAATAAGTGTGGATTCAACAATTCTATCACCTGACATCCAAAAAAGCATCGATGATGTCGACAAGAAGATCAACTCTTCTGCTTCGACTCTTTCCACTAAAGCAGCTGATAATAAAGACAGAATTCAACATGGGTTGGACCGTGTGTAAGTTGTTACAGCTTTTAGAATCTTGAAATTAGAAAAACTTTGGGGTAGTGCCGATCATTAAACTGATCTTCATGCTAAATGCTGCAGGAGATTGGCTCTTATCATTGTTGCCGCCGTGATGCTCTTTTTGGCATTTATTGGATTCTGTAAGTTACAATGTTGCTTTGGTTATTCCTCCCAGATTCTTGGCATTTTGTTTTCTATATTATGATTATCATGTAATCTTTTTATGCTATTATTTTGATGACTTGTGCCGCAGTGCTCTCGATTCTCGGGTTGCAGTGTCTGGTCTACACGTAAGTGAAGTACCATTATTGTTTTTTCGTTTGTATGCTTTAGAATAAATTGTATAAATCTGGGACTTTGTTATTAGACACTTTGTTATTAACCAATGCAGCCTGGTCATCTTTGGATGGATTCTTGTTGCTGGCACATTTATTTTATGTGGTGTATTTAATCTCCTCCACAAGTACGTTCTACTCGAATCCCTCTATTCTCTGTAAATAACTCCCATATATAAATACATATAGCTTTCATATAAAATTTTAACTTCTGGGACAAACGTCAATTTATTGATCTGTCTTCTCAAGTCCCATTTGCTCATTCAAACACGAATATGCACATACGACCTTTGATATGTCCTTGTGTTATATGATATACTATTTTAATTAAAGTCTCTCTTGCTTCACAGTGTCGCAGGAGATGCATGTGTTGCTATGGACGAATGGGTTCAGCATCCCACTGCGCATACCGCGCTAGATGACATTCTGCCGTGTGTGGACAATGCAACGGCCCAAGAGACCTTGTTACAAACCAAGAATGTCACTCACCAACTTGTAAATGTTGTGAATGGCATCATCAATACCGTTGCCAACCGTAATTTCCCTCCACAATTGGCACCTTTATATTACAATCAGTCTGGTCCGTTGGTGCCAGTTCTCTGCGACCCGTTTCATTCTGATCTCAGGGAACGTACGTGTGCATCTGGCGAAGTTAGCTTGTTCAATTCCTCAGAGGTAACGAAAATAGCCTTTCTTATAACTGGAATTTACCTGATCATACATAAGTAGGGATGACATCTCTCTCTTTCAAACAGGTTTGGAAGAAATATATCTGTAACGTATCTTCGTCCGGGATTTGTACTACACCTGGGCGGCTGACCCCACAATTTTACAGCCAGATGTCGGCTGCAGTGAATGTTAGTTACGGTCTATATCGCTACGGTCCATTCCTGGTTAATTTGCAAGACTGCACTTTCGTGCGCGATACGTTCACAGATATCAGTCGTGATCATTGCCCAGGTCTGCGCCGCTATAGTCAATGGATCTACGTCGGACTGGTACTAGTGTCAGCAGCCGTGATGCTGTCATTGATCTTCTGGGTAATCTATGCAAGAGAGAGAAGGCACCGCGTTTATACTAAACAGCACGATGCTCGAGTGGAAGGCGCGTACAAGGGTCATTAGGACCACAGGCTGTTGAATGCTCGTTTTCTGTAGGTTTGAATCTTTGTGAAGTGTAGTACATGTACTTAATTTTGTGCCTGATAATTGTGCATGAACAAGTTTTTATTTTCCCGAGATTCAACATTTTCCCATGTAAATGTTCAATTTATCTAATATCCTCTTTTCTTCATGACCTTAAAAAGGAAAAATGGAAAATAAAAGTAGCCCTTCAACGATGGGTCCATTGGATGAGATATTTTATCTTCTTCTAAAGTAATAAAGCATGTCTTAGTATAAGAGTGAGACCCTTCACCTGTCCCACTTAAGACTTCATGATATTATAAGTTAATAAAGTTATTTTTCTTAGTTTAATTTGGATGGCTTGAATTTTGTTTCTGACGCAGTCGCTTAAGCCCTGGCCGTCAACACTTTTATTAGAGTTCGACCTCGAATGTCAAATTGTCAATGGCACTTTGAATTGACCATCATAGCTAGCTGGAACTTGGAATAATACTATAAAAGTCTGTCTTCTTCACTGGTTCGCATGCATTTAAGCAATAGGCAGTCACCATTGACTTGACCTTGCTCATTCTAAATGACCCTTTGCCCCTTGAAACTTACATGGGAATTGAAGCACCAAATCTGGGCTAAATGGGTTTTCACTTAACCAATTTCTGTTTCTCAATATTATCCAAATTAACCATAACCTAATAATGACACCCCCTTTTCAAAGCTATAAAAACACCCCATCCCTTAGTTCCCCGCACAAACAAAAGCGAAACCAGCATCCCATCTTTCCAGCTACTCGTCGAGCTTTCGAACCATTTTCCAATGTCCTCAAATGCTTCATCGCCAAACTCCAAGTGCCTGTGTTCACCAACGTCGCACCCAGGGTCCTTTAGGTGCGCCCTGCACCGCAATTTCAACAAAAAGCCATCCACTCGAAGTCGAACCAGGGTGGTTCATGAATCACCCAAGTATCTTGCGAATGCGAAACCCGCGAAGATGCTTCTGTTCCAGATTATGAAGCCGTCGAGCCATTGCATCAAAAGGAGAAGGAATTTCCAGCCTAAGCCTTCCAGGTTTTGTTTATTGAATGGAAATAGCATCAGGGTCGGGCTTGTAGGCTTGTAGTTTCTTCATCTGGTTTAGTTGCCAGAATTTGGTCCAAGTATGAACTTCAATTTTTTAAGCCTAATATATATATATATATATATATATATATAAATGTTTTATACTTTCTGGTTTGGTTTTTTTCAATAATGTCGGGGGATATATAATATAAAATCCAGGAAAAGTTTCAGAGATTAATGACAGAGCAACATATATTTCCTGTAATTCATTACTTTGTTCTGTTATTTATTTGGCCAATATATTTTATTTCAAAGCATAGGGTAGTACAATATGTGAAAGGCGCGCAAAAACAATGCATAATATGCATTGCGATCAGCAAGCCAACCAGCTGGTAAGAAATGATGTGAGCTTAAAGGTCAAAAAAGCGAAGCTTGACTTTTGACCAAGAATACATCAAACCAACAGCTCACTCAAACCAATTTTCTACGCAAATTCCCAAAAACCCAATATTGTTTTGGTTGTGAAGGTTCAGCCTTTTGCTCCCAAGCTCAAGCTTTCCTTAAATTTTAAAAGAAAAAATAACTTCAGTGACCGAAAATTCATTATAATATACGATTTTGACCAATTTATTTTTTATTTATCAAAATGACCAACAAAATCGCAATGCGATTTCTAAATCGCAACGCGATCTCTAGTATCGCAAATCAGTTTCCAGATTCGCAAAGCGATTTTGACTATCGTTGCGATTTTAGAAAATCGCAATGCGAATATGTAAATCGCAACGCGATTCTGACTATCGCAACGCGATAATACAAAATTGCAATGCGATTTTCAAAGCGTCATTAGTATCGCAACGCGTATTTTATTTTTAAATTCCAAACACGAATATTAATATATCTCGTAATCGCAACTCTTAATCTAAAACCCTAAATCACAACTCAGACCCATCTCCATCTCTCACTCTCTACGACGACATCCGTCCTCATCTCCGACGAAATCCGTCCCCATCTCCGGCGAAATCCGTCTATCTCCATCTCTCAGAGCCACCCTCACAATCATTAACAATCAGAAATAGAAAATCAACCAAATCAACCATCGATTGTTAGTTTTTTTAATTATTTTTATTTTAAAATTTTTGCATTATTATTAGGTTTTTCATATTGAAATTGATGATAAGTTTATTGGTAATTTCAATAATAAATTAACCATTTCACTTAGATTGCTTATTAAATTCATTCGATTGCTGCCAATACTGCTAAACTGTTTAGTCTTTAACCCTGTAAAGTTAGTATTTGTCTTTGTTTTGTCTTTTGGTTGAAGTAATGTAATTCATTCAAGTTTCAATTTTAGACAATGACTATTTGAAACCGAGGATCGCAACGCGAAATGAAAATCGTAACGACAAAATCGCAACGCGATTTTAGTTTCGCGTTGCGATAGTCATTTTCGTGTTGCGATTTTCATTTTCGTGTTGCAATTTTAAGTTTTAGAAACTATTCTTCTTCTGCAAATTGAAACTTGAATGAATTGCATTACTTCAACCAAAAAACAAAGACAAATACGAAATTCACAGTGTTGCAAATTTAAGTTTGAAGAATAAACTACTACTACTCTTTATGTTTATTAATGTTTTTGGTATATCTTCACAGTGTAGTTTTTGGTATATCTAACTTGGTATGTTTATTGTTTTTGTAGAACTTTTTTTCGGCTCAATTGACCTTAAGAAATAAAATAAGCCTAGTCACTACAATTGCGTCGAAGCTTTCACCTGTACAAAGAAAATTATTTGAGGATACTTGCTTCGAGCCATGGCTGAAAGTACAACATCTGGGTGGAGATGCTATGTTGACCCATTTGTGGCTTCAGACCATGACTAGCGATCTACCCGAGAGTATAAAACGTGGTAATGAAGAGATATGGTTTCATTTTCCACCGGCGTATACGTGTTTTGGGCGGGAGGAGTTTTGCTTAATCACTGGTCTACGCTTCGGACACGATGATGTAGGTCGATACACTAGTCATATTACCCGCCCATCATGGTTATCCCGGGTTTTTCCTGAGCTGTCAATGGAGAAGCCGAATTATACGTCGACGACTTGACGAGATTATTGAATAAGAAAGATGGTTTTACTCGGATGGATGACGTCGATGTTGTCCGAGTATGCCTTTTAGTACTTTTGCATACTGGCTTTTTAGGCAGAGAGGCCAGACAACCTATTCCTAAGGACCTAATATTATTGGTAGAAGACCTAAATGCATGAAACATGTTTCCGTGAGGTTCGTATCTATGAAAAGCTACCTGGAATAAGTTGTCGTCTGCCTTTGATGACCGCAAAAGTTTGTGTGGCGATGGTTCCAAATTCACTTTGTAAGGCTTTATTTGAGCCTTTAAGGTAAGAATTTCTATACAATGTTTCCAAAATTATAATTAATTATTTAACAATTACTAATGTTTGTGTATTATATTGTTTGTAGATTTGGATATTTGAGGTTTTTCCCGACATGCAGACATATGCATTAAAAACTTCAAATGATATTCCTAGAGTTATTTCCTGTAAGAGGAAACGGCGACTGTTGATTTGGGAAGAGTTACTACGGTATACGACAATAAATGATGTAAGTTAACACAAATACTACCATATATAAATAAGTTATTACTAGTACACGTTTAAATTTGTTTGAGCTTTTATATTGTTAGGAGGCCAACACTCCATTACAGAGGCTGACACCCACGGAGGCTGAGCTTGCCACTGATTGGTGGCAAGCTAGTAAGCGTTGTTTTGATGGCACGGATGATGAGCAGCCTCCACTTCGAGAGCCATCACTTCACCCAGAGCCATCACCTGATCGACCACACTATATACCTCTACAACGAGAGCCATCACATATTCCGTCACATCATCGAGCCTCTTCTCCACCATCACCTCATGATAGGCGACCGACAAAGATGCCACGACATTTATCTCTCTGTTCTCCACCTCCACGGGATGAGTTAGGGGAGTTATGTGATGAGGTCAATGCCTTACGTGAGGAGGTTGGTACTTTACGCGATGACAATGGTGCATGGCGTGATGAGGTATCTACTTTACGTGGTGAGGTAGCGACTCTACGTGAGATGGTAGCATCGTGTAAATGAGGTTCATACTCTACGCAACGAGGTAAGTTTAAGATTTTTCATATTTAACTTGATTTACTCGTAATTTCACTTAGATTAACCATTTCACTTAGATTGCTTAGTAAATTCATTCGGTTGCTGCCAATACTGCTAAACAGTTCTAAAATAACCATGTGAAGTTAGTATTTGTCTTTGTTTTTTCTTTTGGTTGAAGTAATGCAATCCATTAAAGTTTCAATTTGCAGAAGAAGAATAGTCGCAACACGAAACTTAAAATCGCAACGCGAAAATGACTATCGCAACGCGGAAATGACTATCGCAACGCAAATTTGACTATCGCAACGGGATAATCGCAATGCGAAATAAAAATCGCAACGCGAAAATCGCAATGCAAAAATGAAAATCGCAACGCAAATTTAGTTTCGCGTTGCGATTTTCTTGTTGCGATTTTTATTTCGCATTACGATTATCTTGTTGCGATAGTCAAATTCGCGTTGCGATAGTCAAATTCGCGTTGCGATAGTCATTTTCGCGTTGCGATTTTAAGTTTCGTGTTGCGACTATTCTTCTTCTGCAAATTGAAACTTGAATGGATTGCATTACTTCAACCAAAAGACAAAGACAAATACTAACTTCACAGTGTTGCAAATTTAAGTTTCAAGAATAAACTACTACTCTTTATGTTGTCCTTGAACATGCACTAAACCTATATGCTGTCCTTTTAAATGTTTATATAAGTGCTTACTTCTGGAATGTTATCTGATGCATTTTGTGAACTATGATAGAATAATGACTTGGGTGAATACCGTGCATGTTTGAAACATATTTGTCTTTGTTTTCACTGTTTAATATCAGGTCTGTTTATTTTCTGATTTATGTATTAATTTATTTTTAGCGGCCCGATAAGGTGGATGCTTTACGTCAGGTTTTTCTTGCACAGTGGGGTTCACGCATCAGACGGCGTG